AGTGTGCTCTGTGGCTCCACCACCTTCTATTATGGAAATCTCTGGTTCACTTCCCCTGTTCAGGAAATTCGGCATCGCTAACAGTATATGGTACATTCTGATTAGATGTTTTTTAGGGATGTTCTGAAATGAAAATTCTTGGCCGAAGCCAAAACCGAGCAAAATGAAACATTGGGCCGAAGCCCGAGTACCGAACATGGTTTTTCGTGTTTTTTTTCTCTCCCCCCCCAATTTTTTTCACTATTGCATAAATTAAATAGCCAAAATGTGCTTTTTACTGTTTTGTCTTGCCTTTCAAAGAAAAAATCAATTACAAAACAACAATTAAAAAATATTTAACACTGAACATTTTCAACATTCTAGCAGACATTATACCAACAAAACACAGTTTATCTTAAAATTAATAAGTTAGTAAAATAAAAATATTTTTGGCCATTTTTGAGACCCCCTTCTTGAATCAGGCATGTGATTGGCTAAAGACAAAAAAGAAGGAAAACTGGACACTTTGAGCAGCAAACCAGCATATTAGAATGATTTCTGAAGGATCATGTCACACTGAAGAGTGGCGTAATGATGCTGAAAATTCAGCTTTGATCACAGCAATCATATACATTTGAGATACTATATATTCACACACAAAACAGTAATTTTAAATTGTAATAATATTTCACATTTATTTCGCATTTCACATGTATTTTTTACTGTACAAATAAATGCATCCTTGCTGTGCAGAAGAGACTTGTTTTAAAACATTAGAAAATACAACAGATCCCAATTTGAACACTATGTGTGAATGTTATAATAAAGGTATTAATAAAGCTGTTGTAATTATTATCATTATTATTGTCTTACTTTTTTATTTTATTTTACAGAACAACAGTAAAATTACAGTACTAACATTTATGAATGTTGATGGAGTTCTTGCTTTTTTCTCAGCTCTTATTTTGGCCGAAATCCACAGGAAGACCTCAACGCTTCTTTCTGTTGACAAGAGCAGATTTATAAATGATTCTCATTACGAATTTGGGAAGATGTTTGTCGCACATATCACATTGTCACATCCATGCCTTGTAAAAACTCATAAAAATGTTACTGAGCAACTGACGAGTAACACTGTTTCGGGGCAGATTTTCGCGCTTTGGACTTTGAAACCCTGGCTATCAAGCAGATAGCCCCTCGAGCTCATGCACCACTGTCAGATTACGTGCAATTTGTACGTGTATTAGAAAACATAACTCTCCTGCAGTTTATTTAGCCATTTCGCGATTTCAATCATCATAAATTAGTGAAGAGCAGGCAAAAGCACGCACATCAATCTCAACTGGGTGCTCGACTAAGAAACAAGTGGAAAATTTTTTGATGTAAAGTCGGCAACACCAAAGCTCCAAAAATATCAAAAAATTGATTTAAAAAAAAAAAACTGTCGCATAGCATATGTGACGTTTCGAGCACGCAGGCTCTTCATCAGACAAATGAACAACACTGATATCCCACTCTTTATAGGCCTACCTCCAGGTGATCAAAGGTCACATGACCGTACCATATTATCATGATAATAATAATACCAAAACAATAATAAAAATTCGCATCTCTGAACATCGATGTGCAATTAGACATCGCGATCCAAAAAGTCCGGTAGCACAGCACTTTGCAGATTCAAGACACTCAGTTTCCACTCTTCAGTACATAGGTATTGAAGTAGTGAAGTGTCCGCGTCGCGGAGGTGATATCAATAAATTGCTTTTACAGCGCGAAGCCTTTTGGATTTATACACTAGATACGTTGTCCCCTAGAGGATTAAATGAGGACTTTGATATTCGTCCATTTCTTTAAACACAAGATATCTATTTACATATAATAAACGCTTGGTGGTTATTGATTTGTATTTATGTACCTAGGCAGGCATCAATTAATGTTATTAAACAATATATTGATAATTATATTCGTGTATTTTGCATAGCTTTATATGTTTTTGATTTATTTTTATTTTTATTTTTGTTTCCATGTTTTTCTCCTTGGTTGATATGTTATTGTTTTGGTATTATTATTATCATGATAATATGGTACGGTCATGTGACCTTTGATCACCTGGAGGTAGGCCTATAAAGAGTGGGATATCAGTGTTGTTCATTTGTCTGATGAAGAGCCTGCGTGCTCGAAACGTCACATATGCTATGCGACAGTTTTTTTTTAAAATAATTTTTTTTATATTTTTGGAGCTTTGGTGTTGCCGACTTTACATAAAAAAATCATCATAAATTAACCAGCAACAAACACCCTTTCCTCTTCTCATCGAAGACATGCAATGCAGTGCTAAACGGTCTCATGCTGTCGGTGCTTGTAATGATTTTTGCGTCTTTCTCAGACAGTTTTAAATGCTTCCACACTGCCGACATGTTTGCTGCATTAGTGCGCGCCTCAATTTGATCGCGTCACGTCATTGCTCGGTACAATTTATTCGGTATATTCGCCTATTCAGCCGAACACGGCGATTCGGCCGAATGATTTCGGTTGCCGTACTTTCGGTGCATCCCTAGTTTTTTAAAATTCTTTTCTCCCCTATGCAAAGAAAAAAACAAACTTTGCTGTGAGTATATCTGGGCCTTTCGACAGAGATGGGTCACCGCAGGGAGCGCTGACAGTGTCTAGCGGGATTTGGTAACACGTGCAGACGCACAGGCGTTGAGTAACTTTCTCCTCTCATGAAAGTGTCACTTTAGCATGGCGCCTCTGAGTTCCAGGATCCAGCTGGCTGGGAAAGCTGTCTCCCATAAATGTTCGTTTGCCTCATTAAAGTATGCCATGCTTTTTGATTTTCAGTGTTGTAAGTTGTGTTCCCTCCTCCGGTCCTGGACGAAGCTCAGACTTCACGTCCCAGCATGCATGTGCGTATATTGCTCCTCTGCGTTTGCGTAGACAGAAGGATCGAGGTTGCTTTTTCGTTGTGACTGCGCAGGAGACGGATTGTGATGAATCCAAGGCATCGGTCGAAATAAAACCCATGTGCTGGAACATGTGCCATTTTCAGTCAGCGTGGATTATTTCTGTACTATAGTTGTCTTTAACAGGCAATTAAAGTTTGAGGTACCTTGAAAACTTCTAACTGACTGACCTCGCAAGAGATGCATGGACTCATTAATACTTCCAGAACCATAAAAGGCCCTTTTGTTCATAAATATAGCTCAACATAATGTATTTTGTTTTTTTTTTTCCCTCTCACTCTTCTTTTGACATATGCGTCTTGTTCGTTTGCACCTCGCCTGTTGGTTTGTGTCATTAACCACATGAAATAATCCACTGTTTGTTGTGTATTCCTGCATCATTTGCTAAGAATGGAGTGTGGCGTTGTGTTTTTATAGTGAACAGATGCTAAAGAGCATGTTTGAAGGATATTACATTGTCCAGAAAGAGTCCTCAGTACGCTTGAGAGACTTTCAGATTATGCGCCCCAAAGGCAGCCATTTAATGAAACTCTTGAAGTTCAGTCCGCTGTTACCAAATCATTGGTTTGAATAACATGTCACTACTGGTCCACTGGTACTCAATAGACCGATCCGTCTCACATAAAAGTTCAGGAACAGTGTAATGTTGAGTCCTTATGAATATGATTTTTGTTTTGTTTATCCCAAAAACTTTTACTTGCACAGCTGCAGGATGGAATATTTGGCAAACAAATGGGAGGAATCACAAGTCCCACCTTTCAATTAAAAGAGTGATTGTACTTTTTGAACTTTTACTCTACAATTTGGCTTTGCATTAATTTGACTTACCTAAAATATATATATATTTATTGATTGATTGAATGGCGATTCCACCTGTTATTGAACATTTCCTTTGTAAAATATATATATAAATTTATATATTATAAAATATACCTTTACCAAGTTAACATTGAAAATAATAATAAATATAATAATTGTCAATATATAATTGACAATAACAATTGACAAAAGTACTCCAACTACTGTTAATAGTTAATTATTTTAAAATACTAATAAATGTAGTTATGTTCGTAATTGTAAAATGATAAATTTCTGTATAATTTCCAGGAAAATGTATCATTTTAAGTTAACTTAATTTACACACCTAGTATTAATAATTAATGATTTTATAATATAAAAATGTTAATGTAGTAATCTTCAAAAATGTAAATTAAAAATGTAATTTCTGTATGATTTCGAGCCATTATTGCAAAAAAAAAAAGCAACATTTCAAGATAAATTTAGCATTGAAAACCGTAGACAATACTACCACTAGAGGTTGACCGACATGGGTTTTTCACTGGCCGATGCCGATATTTAGAAATCAGGGCAGCCGATGGCCGATATATGATGCCGATTTTTTTGGCCGATATGTTTGTCCAATTTTCTTTTTTCTTTTTTTTCTCCCTTCATCTCGTAAAAGTGAGTTTCAGTAAATGATTATTGCAGGGTACAAGATAGTAATAGTAGTAGTAGTAGCCCAATTTATAATAATAATACATGGCTCAAAACTTAATCACCTTCTCAAAACAGTTCTGAAGCATGCTTTTTGTTTATGTTTGCTAGGGCTGTGCGATATTGAAAACAAATGCGATATGCGATACGATATTGCTTAAAGTGTGAAAAATCTATTTAAATTATATTTTAAAATATTTAATAATGATAATTATATAACCAATTTGTTTCACATTCTTTCTTGGAAAAGATTGACCGGAAAAGGCCGATCAATCGGTCGACCCCTAACTACCACCACTACTACAACTACTATTAATAATAAATTATTCAAAAATATTAAAGGGGTCATATGATGCGATTTCAATTTTTCCTTTCTCTTTGGAGTGTTACAAGCTCTTGGTGCATAAAGAAGATCTGTAAAGTTGCAAAGACTAAAGTCTCAAATCCAAAGAGATATTCTTTGTAAAAGTTAAGACTCAACCACGCCTACCTAAAACGGCTCGTTCTAACACGCCCCAACATAACAAAACACACACAATACATAACAGTGATTTATTTCATTTTATTAAAAAAAATTTCCTTTAAATTCATAAAAGAAAGGGAAGTGTTTTCTTTTGGGGGAAAATAATATGTTTTCATTTGATTTTCGTTTATTTGAGTCTTTGTATTCAACTGCAACATGTATGTGAAAAAAAGTGGTTCTGGCCCTTTAAGTCTGCTCTCCCGATAACGTGCTCCCCTGCAGAGGGAGAGTTGAATCCTCCATTTTGTGAAACGGGGACAGAGTAGAGCTGACGCAGATTAGTGTAACTGAAGATCACCATTTGTCACTATTCATAAAATCCTCTAGCCTTTATTTACATTATTTACAGGCTCCATAGTCGAACCTAACTGGTCCAAATAACATTCATAGTTGCACTTACGAAAAATTAGGAAAAAAAAAAAATAATAACTCGAAATACTTATTGGTGCAAACGGGTGTTACAATGGGTTTTAATGTTTTTGTCTTGTCGCTCCGGCCAGGACAAGGCATTACAATATGGTAAGGGGCGTAACATTTCCGTCACACGCTTGAGGTATTCGGCCAATCACAACGCACTGGATAAATTTGTTTTTTGAACCTTAAACCACATAAACACATTTAATTACACCATATACACAAAATAGTGTTCTTTTTAGCAACATCATATGACCCCTTTAAGTCTTAGAATGTTTAGAAATGTAAAAGTATAAGTTCTGTATAATTTGCATCTGTTATTGCCAATTTTCTGTGCAATAAAACATAACGTTCCATGATAGTCAACATTGAATAATAGTAATACTACTACTACTACTACTACTATGAATTAATAATTTTAAAATGTATAAAGTATTGCTATGAATATAAAATTATACATGTTTAGATTTAGTGGGGATAGAGAAACCATTAGCAGGGCCAAGCCAGCAGAAAAAGTCCTTACTGTTGAGACTTTTTAAAAAATTTTTTAAATCTTTTATTTATTTGTTTTTATTGATTTATTTATTTCATGAGTGACACAGTGAGCTGTGCTGTTTGCTGTAAATATGCAAGAAAAACATGATATGATTAAATGATTCCATGATTTGATATTAACACTAAATAACTAATTTAAATATTTTTTCTCTAGTAACAGTTACACTCAAGAGTTCATTTTGGACCCAGTATATGCTGCTTCGAACAGGTTTTTGTCCAGATTGATTAGCCAAATGGCATTTAAGGCTTAGGTGATTGAAATAATACTTTTCTGGTTTTAAATTACATACATCTGGGTGGTCCTTTGCCAGCTGAACAGCAACCATTGAGACGACCGGAAACGTCCTCCTTGGATTTTTGTACTTTGGGGCCACATAAGGGCCTTTCGCACCGCGGGAACCTTTTCATAGTACCAGAACTAATTGTGGAACTACCCACTTTTTGGCGTTTTGAAGCAGCTCTGCGCCGAAAATTGCCAGTTTGAAAGTTTGCACGACATTTTCCTTCTTTTACTTCACTGAACTGCAGTACAATTTGAGTCCTGTGCAGTTGACTAGTTGATATCATGCTGCCCTAATCTAAAGAGAGGCTTTTAGAGTAGTGGTGGTGTTAAAGCAATCTGTTTCCCATCTCTTAATATTCCCTGCTAGCATGAAATGTATCCATTGCAGTTTTTATGAGACATCAAGTGGTTAAACTCAGTTCACTAATGACGCTTTTACTGTTTGACACCAATTTGCAAGTGACTCACAATGAGTCGACTGCTCTTTTATTATTTCAATTTGACATTAGCACGCAGGTCTCTTTCGAAACATCCTCACCTTCTTACCTTTAAGCAATCAACACATCAAAGAAAATATACAAGTATGTTTTGAAATGATGAAATCTGTTTGGCCAGGACTGTGGAGTTATTGTTGTATGATTGATCAGTGGAAATAGATTCAGGCTATCTGAAGTGTAATAGCAGTTAGTTTTGGGGGTTTTAGTGAGTTCACAACCCACTTTTTTTCTAGACCTCCAAAGCATACATGTACATTCAGCATCCATTCCCAGAAATCTGTCTCAATGAATGTTCAGAATTGACCATGAACCTGTTTTAATCTTAACTAGCCGCTGATAATTCAGAGGAAATGCCCTGCAGACACAACATTAGTTTCTAAGGCCTGAATAATTTTTTCACACAATAATGTTCCTGTGCCTTGTGATTTTTGTGATTTAAATGGTATTAACCTTTTTCCCGAGTGTGAAAGTGAGCTTTTGTTACACAGAAGAATTGAAATCAGCTTAGTCTCAGTCTTCATGATACAGATGTCACAAAGTGGTACTGCTAAATTCACCCGTGTGCATCAGGTCTCCAGAGCTGTTTCAATCCATAATTTATGCCAAAAGTCAGAATATCGCAAAACAACTTGCGAGTAATGCAGCGTTTCCATCTCATGTGGGAAATTGGTGCAAAATGTAAATGGAATTAGACATTATAGGCACATGACTTTTTGATGCCGTATTTATTCTGATTGTGTTTCCATTGTTTCCATTCCATCAATAACTTTCATCCTATTTCAAATCTCCCGTTTTTGGCTAAATTACTTGAGTGTATTGTTGCCTCTCATTTGTGTAATCATCTTAGGGCTGAACGATTTTGGAAATTAATATAATTGCGATTTAATATGCAATTATTTTTTAAAGCTCTTTATGTTCTGTATTATTCAACAAAGACAAGCTATAAATCATTGTATAGTATGACCAACACAATATTAGATAGATTAAACATAAATGCTTTTTTCTGTAGGCCAGGCCTATGTTACGATGAAATTAGGTGATGCGTGAATTGATATGAATGACATTTTTATTTAACAACTACAATCACAGTACATTGACTGATTTGTTGAACTTCCAACATTGTAAGCATGATAATTATGTTTAAATAAGCCTGGTGTAAACATTAATATGAAAGTCAGTAACAAATCACACGTGCAACCATAGACTGTATAGGGCGCGACACGACAAAACCCCAGCATTAAACTGATGCCTTGTTCTATTTATGATGTACTGACACAAAGTTAAAATGAGAGCACGTAATAATTATGAGAACATAAAGCAAATAACAAATAAGCCTGGTGTAAACATTCACATGAAAGTCAGTAACAAATCACACAAACTAAAGTTGATTGCAGAAATATAAAAACAAATCTGTTGCTTTACCACACTACTTTAGGTAATTCAAAGTCACTGTAATAAACATAGGTAAACATGTGGACTGCACTTTTTAAACACTGTCTGTTAACTTTAGACCAGTGGTTCTCAAACTTTTTTGTTAAACCTATAAACAAATCTGGGGAACCTACAGGGAAAAAAAACACCTGCATTGAAAAATAGCATAGAGAGAATAACTGTTATTATTATTATTCCGCAGATTCAGCTACATAAGGAGCTTAAAATATCGTCTTATTGTGATGTTGGGTGCCAGAATCGATGTAGTAGAGGCTCCGATTTTAAATTTTAAAGCATACCTGCTGCCACCGCCAGACAAAAACCAATGACAGCTGTGGTTAAATGCGATAAAACGAGCGGACTGGACAGAAGTGACAACTGTAGCGTCCGGTATAGAGTGAGTGAAGCCGAGAGCAAGATATGCCTCGTCATATTTTCTGCATTTAGCTTTTAAATGACCAGCACCTGCCTGGGTCTGTGCGACTTCATCTATGGCTTTTCTCTTCGCTTTCACAAACCGATCCATCTCCCATTCTAATTA